TACTGAAGCAGGAAAGATTTGCTCAGATAACAGTAAGAAAGTACAAGGGAGTGTTTAAGGTAGTGGCACAGGGAAAAGGCTGCTGCATTAGGGTTAGGGGGAAAACCCTGTTAGTTGCCACTACCTAGGGGCTCTCTAGTAGTGGGGCAGGCCTGGGTTCCCCCACCCCAGCCCTCCCACACTACTAAAAAGTGCTCCTGGAATACCACATGCAGGAGGAGCCTGCCATTTAGTTGATGTTAAGGCAATACTGATTTTCACTTCCCCTCGGGACATGTCTGCCCCGCTCATGCTCTCTCTCCATCTCACAGATGCACTGTGGATAGATTCCATCCCCTTTTACAATCCCGATGTGCTGCTCAGATGCTCACCCCCACCAAACAGGAGAGAAAACAAATGGTTTATTGATCACAAGAAACCTGGCTCTGTCAGTGGAGGGGGAACAATAGACAAGAGATAAGAGCTATGGGGAAAATGGGAAGGGGGTGGTGCCTGCCTAGGGCTTATACCAGTGGCAAGGGACTAGCTGAGTATTCCATCTCACAGATGCACTGTGGATAGATTCCATCCCCTTTTACAATCCCGATGTGCTGCTCAGATGCTCACCCCCACCAAACAGGAGAGAAAACAAATGGTTTATTGATCACAAGAAACCTGGCTCTGTCCGTGGAGGGGGAACAAGAGATAAGAGCTATGGGGAAAATGGGAAGGGGGTGGTGCCTGCCTAGGGCTTATACCAGGGGCAAGGGACTAGCTGAGTATCTTGAGAGCAGAGCTGGCAGACAACAGAGCTGGGAAACTCCAGGGCTGGTGAAAATCATCTCAGCTCTGTGTAAATCTTTACACCCCTATGGAAAAAGCATTTACTGATGCCCAGGCTTTCTGGGATGGCACTCAAAGCCTTGTAGCCAAGCTTTCATGTGAATCACCAGGGAGAGGTTGTGTCCTTTCCACCTTACCCAGCTGTGTTCATATGAAGCAGCCCCATGGGCACAGTCGGATTCTAAATAACAGTGCTGACCCAGGAGCTAACTACAAAATGTTACTCTTGGAGGGGTGCATGCAGAGGTGAAAGGAAGCAGCTGTGTCCAGGTGCACAGGTCTGGCAGGGGCTGGCTGAGCTGCAGCAAAAGCCAGCAGGGAGCTATTCAAAGAGTTGCCAGGGACCCAGGTTTGCAATAGGACAGTACTTGTAAGAAATTTTAAGTTACTTTTACTGCTGGGCATGTCACTGTGAGTAGTTTATTGACAGGGCTACCTGCCAGTGACCAGTCAGGTAAGTCCTGCCATTACTGCCTCAGCAACCCCCAGGAAACTGGCTCACTGTTGTCATTATGAACGCTGGTACAGGCGAGTGCCTTGACTGAGTTGGAATGAACCCCTGTATTTCAAAAGGGCGTCTGCTGTTGAGAGCTTATTAGCCAGCCTGGGCTAGGACACACATTTTCAGTTATGATCGCTAATGGGAAATAAACTTTAAAATTCCTTTATTTTAAATGTGGACATAGCCCAGGCCTGAGACCTACTGTAAATGTGTGTGAAAGTTGGGCGTTTGTCGTGTCTGCAATTCCTTATCCAGAGAGGTAAAACAAAAGTTGGATCAAAGCTTCCAAACAGAGAGTTTTAAAATGTTTCCTCTGAACACACTATTAAATGGTTTAGAGGGGAATTATAGAAAATTACAATTGCTTAGGGAGAGCCTTACGGCCGGGCAAAGTGGGGCCATGCTCAGGGGGCCATAGCCAGGGGGTGCCACAAAAGGCTAGTGCTGTCACCTCACTGGCTGCGATACAGATTCCTCTCTGGCCCTTTCTTGTACTGGGATGGCAGTCTTTGTCCTTCCCCCATGCTGGTTCCACATGCTTCTCCCCACAAACTCCCCTCCAGCACCTTCCCCATGCTGGGCCCAGCTGACTTTTCCCTGATTCTTTCCCTCTAGCTCCTCACTCCTTAGCTGGCTGGCTAAGGACTCCAGGTACACCCAGCTAGGGCTGGAATTTATGTGGGGCCTAAGACTAGAAGGAGAGAAGGGCCTAAGTATGAATTATATATTGCAAAAGAATGATGAAATCCTATTCATATTCACAGAAAATTGTATCTATATTCATATTTACATAAAATGAACACATTTATTCTATTCACTACACTCAAACAATTTTTTCCCACTTTAGCTGTGGCAAAGTCATGAATGATGTCATCAAGTTCAAAGACCCGACAATTTCATTCTCAGTGCTCAAGAGGGACAAAGCACCAAGATGCTCTTGAGTTGTGATGGATCAGCGGACATTTTTGACCCTGGTTATAAGAGAAAATACAAATACATCTGTCATCTAATTTCAACATCTGGGAAACATTCTGAAACTTTGCATTCAGTGACAACTCAGTACATCCAAGGAGATAAGCTTTCTGCATTTTTTCTCTATATATCTTAGAGCAGTGTTTCTGAAAGTGTATTGTGGACACACTTTCAGAAACACCTTAACCGGCCACCCCAGTTTGTTTATGTACCAATGCTGCGGTCATGGAGCCTCACGGCTGCCATTGGCTCCGTTTCATCCTTTGCAGCCAAGGGGAACCACGAGAAGCGGCATGGGCCAGGCCACTGCTTCCTGCAGCTCCCCTTGGCTGCAAAGGATGAAACGGAGCCAATGGCAGCCGTGAGGCTCCATGACCGCAGCATTGGTACATAAACAAACTGGGGTGGCCAGTTAAGGTGTTTCTGAAAGTGTGTCCACAATACACTTTCAGAAACACTGCTCTAAGATATATAGAGAAAAAATGCAGAAAGCTTATCTCCTTGGATGTACTGAGTTGTCACTGAATGCAAAGTTTCAGAATGTTTCCCAGATGTTGAAATTAGATGACAGATGTATTTGTATTTTCTCTTATAACCAGGGTCAAAAATGTCCGCTGATCCATCACAACTCAAGAGCATCTTGGTGCTTTGTCCCTCTTGAGCACTGAGAATGAAATTGTCGGGTCTTTGAACTTGATGACATCATTCATGACTTTGCCACAGCTAAAGTGGGAAAAAATTGTTTGAGTGTAGTGAATAGAATAAATGTGTTCATTTTATGTAAATATGAATATAGATACAATTTTCTGTGAATATGAATAGGATTTCATCATTCTTTTGCAATATATAATTCATACTTAGGCCCTTCTCTCCTTCTAGTCTTAGGCCCCACATAAATTCCAGCCCTAGCTGGGTGTACCTGGAGTCCTTAGCCAGCCAGCTAAGGAGTGAGGAGCTAGAGGGAAAGAATCAGGGAAAAGTCAGCTGGGCCCAGCATGGGGAAGGTGCTGGAGGGGAGTTTGTGGGGAGAAGCATGTGGAACCAGCATGGGGGAAGGACAAAGACTGCCATCCCAGTACAAGAAAGGGCCAGAGAGGAATCTGTATCGCAGCCAGTGAGGTGACAGCACTAGCCTTTTGTGGCACCCCCTGGCTATGGCCCCCTGAGCATGGCCCCACTTTGCCCGGCCGTAAGGCTCTCCCTAAGCAATTGTAATTTTCTATAATTCCCCTCTAAACCATTTAATAGTGTGTTCAGAGGAAACATTTTAAAACTCTCTGTTTGGAAGCTTTGATCCAACTTTTGTTTTACCTCTCTGGATAAGGAATTGCAGACACGACAAACGCCCAACTTTCACACACATTTACAGTAGGTCTCAGGCCTGGGCTATGTCCACATTTAAAATAAAGGAATTTTAAAGTTTATTTCCCATTAGCGATCATAACTGAAAATGTGTGTCCTAGCCCAGGCTGGCTAATAAGCTCTCAACAGCAGACGCCCTTTTGAAATACAGGGGTTCATTCCAACTCAGTCAAGGCACTCGCCTGTACCAGCGTTCATAATGACAACAGTGAGCCAGTTTCCTGGGGGTTGCTGAGGCAGTAATGGCAGGACTTACCTGACTGGTCACTGGCAGGTAGCCCTGTCAATAAACTACTCACAGTGACATGCCCAGCAGTAAAAGTAACTTAAAATTTCTTACAAGTACTGTCCTATTGCAAACCTGGGTCCCTGGCAACTCTTTGAATAGCTCCCTGCTGGCTTTTGCTGCAGCTCAGCCAGCCCCTGCCAGACCTGTGCACCTGGACACAGCTGCTTCCTTTCACCTCTGCATGCACCCCTCCAAGAGTAACATTTTGTAGTTAGCTCCTGGGTCAGCACTGTTATTTAGAATCCGACTGTGCCCATGGGGCTGCTTCATATGAACACAGCTGGGTAAGGTGGAAAGGACACAACCTCTCCCTGGTGATTCACATGAAAGCTTGGCTACAAGGCTTTGAGTGCCATCCCAGAAAGCCTGGGCATCAGTAAATGCTTTTTCCATAGGGGTGTAAAGATTTACACAGAGCTGAGATGATTTTCACCAGCCCTGGAGTTTCCCAGCTCTGTTGTCTGCCAGCTCTGCTCTCAAGATACTCAGCTAGTCCCTTGCCCACCTTCCCCATGCTGGGCCCAGCTGACTTTTCCCTGATTCTTTCCCTCTAGCTCCTCACTCCTTAGCTGGCTGGCTAAGGACTCCAGGTACACCCAGCTAGGGCTGGAATTTATGTGGGGCCTAAGACTAGAAGGAGAGAAGGGCCTAAGTATGAATTATATATTGCAAAAGAATGATGAAATCCTATTCATATTCACAGAAAATTGTATCTATATTCATATTTACATAAAATGAACACATTTATTCTATTCACTACACTCAAACAATTTTTTCCCACTTTAGCTGTGGCAAAGTCATGAATGATGTCATCAAGTTCAAAGACCCGACAATTTCATTCTCAGTGCTCAAGAGGGACAAAGCACCAAGATGCTCTTGAGTTGTGATGGATCAGCGGACATTTTTGACCCTGGTTATAAGAGAAAATACAAATACATCTGTCATCTAATTT